GTAAAAGATAGAAATTTCCTGCTAGCCTTTGAAGCTTCTTTCTTATTCATGCCGATTCACAAGTCCGTGCCCGTGAGGATGCTATTGTTCAAGCGGCGATGTAGGTGACTGAACTGCTAGCCGCTCCGATACCTCAGCGAGAGATGTGAGGTTGCACTTGATCACGGCCTCAACGAAGTAGCAAGTCTCATCCTTTGTGTTGCCGTCGGGCACATCAACCACGAAGGACTCGATCACAAGTGTCCCTGGCCGCCCATCAATACTCTGTGGGTGGACTGTTATGATGGATGAGTAGTTCTGAAGAAGTGGAAACACATCAGATCAGTATGGATCAAACAGAAGCTTAAAGATCATCGGTGCAGGCATGTCCATCAACAAAAATTTAACTTTTCAACTTCTTGCAAGGTTCAAGATACAGTAAAACCACATGCACATCATGTTCCTTCTAGAGAAGGTAGACAACGCAAGAAAATCACACTGCAAACTATTATGACCGTGTTCCTTCCTTAGTGGTCAAACACCTGATTTTGTAAAACTGCAGGACAAGCACTTGTGATCTCTTCAAAAGCTAAATGCTTCCTTTCCAATTAGTAATTACAAATGTACACAAAGTGAGTAAAATGCTATCATTTGTCACAAGTTGCCCCGGTGACCTTCGTCACGAAAGCGTCACAACAGTTTCCAAGACCCCTCATATAATAGGGGTTTTCTTCTTGATCCAATCGGTACTCTTCTCTTGAATTGAGGGGTGGCCATTCTGAGTTTTATTCTCAGATTCTATCTGAGGGGTTTGTGATCGTTGTGGAAATCCCAACACTCTCAATGAGACCATTATTAGTTCTAATGAAGGGTGTACCCATGCTCAAAGCACCCACACAAGGTGGGGTCTGGGGAAGGGAATTTCTAGACAGCCTTTACCCCTGCATAATAATTCTGCAAGGGGGCTGGTTCATTCTAATATGGCAGACAAAGTTATTGCATTCAATTTTATATTATCTATGACTATGTTAGCATCAGACTTGTAATGGAGCATCTAGCTATTATTTTGCAGGATCTAGCAATTATTATAATGGAGCATTTAGGCACTAGTAAGAAGTAGAGCAGTAAATGACTAGAAAGCACGAACCCTGAGCCGGTGATCGCCTCCAACAAACTTGACACTGAGGATATGCTCGTCGTCATCCAGCTGCTCGAGCCTCTCGGTGCTAGTTGTGGCCGGCAGACCGGTCTTGACGTTGACCTCCCGCACGCTGCCGATCTCGAGGTCGCCACCGCGCACCACGCAGCGGCTGACGAACGGCTTGTACCGCTGCGGCTGGTCGAAGCTCCGCACGAGCGACCAAACCTGCAAACACAGTGGTACATGAATCAAACAGTCGGCGCGATGAAATAGCTATCCATCTGCCCGGGAGATTTGGGCCATTGAATTCTATCACAAACACGTCAACAAGCCAATAGCCGAACAAGATCGCCAAAGCAAGCGCAGCAAAACGAGAATCCCAGATCCAGGAAATACCCACCAACCGAGGCAAGCACGGCATCAGAATCCATTAACCACGCAACAGTGAAAGGTACAGCAAAGGAGGAGCAGGGGCGGGGAGGGAAAGGATGGGGGTCTCACGAGGTGCACGGGGGCCTTGATGTGCTTGACGAGTGCGGAGGTGCACTGGTTCTCGCCGGGCGCGTGGCCGTGCAGCCGCCGCATGTAGTCCGCCTCCGTCGCCGCCCCTCCTCCACCTGCGCCGTTAGCCGCCTCGTCGCTGAGCCTCCAGGCCCGCGCGCCGCCACCTACGAGGCCCACCATGCCAGTAACTCAGATACCCACCGCTGCCGCCGCCGCTCCGACCGGTGGTTGGCCTGGCCTCCCCTCCTCTGCCGCCGGCTGTCTTTTTCTCCGCCTCTGCTGCTTGGGGAATGGCTGGGTTGGGCTAATCGGTTTGGTGGGTTCCTTGCACGGGCGGGTACAAAAATCTGCGGGGTGAGGGGAGCGGCGGGCCCACCCACGAGTTATCCATGCGCAGACCCCGAGGGCAGGGAACGCCAACAAGCTTCGATGGAGCGTGCGCCTGGTCTATGGACTAGAGCGTTGTTTATTAGAACGACGGTGACGACCACCCAGTCGGCATGTGTAGGCAAAAATATCTTCGGTCATGTGACACATGACCCCCCAAAAGGCATTTACATGTCATCGCTAGCTAGGACAATAAACGGCGGACAGGGCTATCTTCAAAATTTTGAGGTTCCGAGGCAAAAAATAATCCTAAATTCTAAAAAGTGCGCGCGCACTATTCGGAGGAGTCGAGCGGCCGGCTCCTGGCGCACGATCTCACTCCTATCATCTCGCGCGTTGGTCAGGTGGTACCTGGTCGGGGCGGTTTCTCGAGCCGACGCCGCTCGATGACCACAACTGTTTCTATCCCTTCGTCCCGTCCAACCATAGCGCTCGCCGCCCTCGAGAGCTTCTTCCGCGCCGTCTCGCCCGAGGCTGTAGGTGCCGTCGTCGACTACGTGCTCGCCTCCTCCCCCTCCTCCACCCCGCCCTCCGAGCTCTTCCGCTCCCTCCGCCGCTCCTTCCCCAAGGCACTGCTCTCCGGCCACCGTATCCCTCCCTTCTCTCTCCACCAGCTCCACTCTACCTTCTTTCTTGCAGGTGCAGGACGACGGCCACGGCCATGTCACAGCTTTCTGCCATCTGCTCCCCCGCCTCGGCTACCCCAAAGACGCCATGTGCGCGATGCTTGTGAGGACCTTCCCGCCGCTAGCTCCTCCACCGGTAGGACGCCCAGCCTAGCCGGCTGCAGCAACAGGCGGCATGTCACTGGCCCAACCATGCACCATCTTCTTGATTGATAGAAGATTTGATCGAGATCCCATCACTGTTTTATGTATGCAGCTGCTGCTACGAGTTGTGTAGATTCTCATGGATGAAGTGCATGGTTTTCATGGGCAGAAGAAAGCATGTGAACGAGGGGCGCTCCGGCGAACTCGTTGGAGATGTTGGGGTGCAGCGACCGCCCGTACGGTGCAGATCAAGATGATTCGACCTCGCCGCGATATAGTCTATTTGCACATAAATTGATGTTTAGTTGACTTGTAATGTAGTCTAGTTGCACACACATTGATGTTTAGTTGGCAGTAAGACTAATTGCACACACATTGATATTTAGTTGGCTTGTAATGTAGTCTAGTTGCACACACATTGATGTTTAGGGCATCTCCAGCCGTTGGCCCCCCAAGAGGGGCAAAAAATCGCCCCCTGAGGGCGCACCGGCGCTAAACCGCGCACTGGGGGCGTGATGCCCCCCAGTCGCGCCCCCCACGGGTTTTTAAAATGATTAAATTTGGCGCAAACACAACGCAAACACGTTCGAATTCGTTCAAATTTAAACATATTTTACAAAAAAGGGAAAACTACCGCGGGCTACCCCCGCCGTCTCCCTCGCCGCCCGCCTCGCCGCCCGCCCACGCGGTTCTACATGCCGAGGAGGCGGTAGAACCGCGTGTAGTCACCGCCGCCGTCGTCGTCGTCGTCGCCGCCCCCGCCGACGCCTCCGCCGTCCCTGCTGCATCCCTCCCCCGGTTGGCGCGGCGGGTTGGACGGTCCGGGGGCGTCGTCGTCGTCGTCCCTGTCGAGGACCACGACGCCGTGCTCGTCCTCGCGCCCACGCTTGCGGGCGGCGATCTCCTCCAGGGCCCGGCGCTGCCGGACCATCTCGTCGCGGAGGTAGTCGTCCCGCGCCCACCGCAGGGCGTCCTCGTCGGAGATGCCACGCCGGGCTACCTTCTCATACTCCGCGGGGAGGCCGGGCTCCGGCTTGGGCTCGACGAGGACGAAGCGGCCGATGGGGGAGGCGTTGTCGCCGATGCGGACGCCGGAGCTGCGGGTGCGCGCGCTGACAAGCGCGCCCTGAGGCTCCGGCTTGACGGAGCGGAGGTGGACGCAGGGGGAGCCGCCGGACGAGGAGGAGGCCCCCCGGTCTCCATGCGCCTCAGGGTCCAGGAGCTTCCCTGGCGGCGTGTGAAGGACGGGGAAGCGGGGTACTCGAGGCGCGGCGTGTTGCCGCCCTCGATGTACTCGAGGACGGCCTCCAACGTGCGCCCGGGCACGCCTCACCATCGATGCCGGCCGACGGCGTTGAGCCTGCCAGAGGGCTCGACGCCGTTGGTGGCCTCGAGCTGCTCGGCGTGATGGCGGCGGAAGTAGGGCTCCCAGAGCGGGCTGTCGGGGACGTACCGTGGCCCCTCCCTCGCCGCACGCGGCAGGGACGAGCAGATGCATGCGATCTCCGCACGCCGCGCCGCGCCGGTGGGTATCGAGGGCACCGGCACGCCGCCGGCGCTGATCCTCCACGCACCGGGCACCCGCATGTCCGGCGAGACCGGGTACTCGACCTCGAAAAGGAGGCGAGCCTCGCTCTCGTGAAGATGGCGGCGACCGAAGTCGTTCGCCGCCGCGCCGTCGTCTGGGAAGCGCTCGGCCATGGGAGACGGCGAGAGAGAGAAGAGGGAGGAACGACGAGGGCGAGAGAGAGAAGAAGGAGGAACGACGATGGCAAGAGAGAGTGCGGGTCGCCGAGTGCGCTGGGGCGCGTTTATATAGGCCGAGGCGCCGCCCGTGCACGAGCCGCCGTGAGTACGCGTGGCGGGCGAGGGACGAGCGTCATCCGGTCTTCATTGCGCCGCCCGTGAGGCATCAATGGCGCAGGCTGACCGGCGCGGCAGCGCGACAACTTTGGCATTGATTCGCCGCGGGAAACGAGGCGATGAGGACGACGAAGGGGCGAGAAGAGGGTAGAGTCGCTGACGCGGCGGGCCCGCGGCTGTTTCGCGCCAAAACAGTTCGCCCCGGCGCCCCCGGGCGCCCCCTAGCGCGCCGGGTTCGGCCTGGGTCCGCCGGCGCTGTTTTCGGCCCAAGCCGGCGAAAATCGGGCTCCTAGGGGCGCAACTGGGCCGATTTTTCGGCGCTAGCGCAAAAAAAACGCCTGGGGAGGCCTTCCTGGAGGCGCGGCTGGAGATGCCCTTAGTTGGCAGGAAGACTAGTTGCACACACATTGATGTTTAGTTGGCTTGTAATATAGTCTAACTACACACACATTGATGTTTAGTTAACAGGAAGACTAGTTGCACACACATATGCTCAGTTGGTTTGTAATTTAGTCTAGTTGCGCACACATTGATGTTTAGTTGATAGGACACTAGTTGCACACACATATGCGCAATTGACGCGGCAATGTAGTCTAGTTGCACACACATTGATGTTTAGTTGACAGGACTATTGGCACACACACATATACTCAGTTGGCGCGACAATGTAGTCTAGCATACACATCGATGTTTAGTTGGCAGGACTGTTGGCACACACATATGCTCAGTTGACGCAGCAATGTAGTCTAGTTGCACATACATTGATATTTAGTTGGCAGAAATACTAGTTCGTCGAAACATCACCATGAGGGGTCTACTTTTGAAGAGCACGTCACGAGGGTTTTAACGGTGAAAACGGATCTGAATTTCGACACGTGATTTAGAAGATATGTCTTTTATAATTTTGAAAACCAAAAATTAATGCACAAGGAAAGAAATATTAATGCAGCAGCATGCAGACATTCATTACGTAAGAAGAGACCACATAAGGTGATCAATTAACAATGTCCTTTTCTAAGACCAGGGGGACATGCGCTTGCTTTTTTTGGCCGGTCGCTCGCAAGCGCTAGCGAGCCTTCGGCCGCTAGCTAAACGCGCCCAAAAATAATAAGGGCGACGTGACGAGTACATGGTGCTGGCGTTCAAAGTAACATGGGCAGGTGACAGCTCGACGAGGGAGCTCGGTCACTCTGGTTGCACGCCTTGCAACGGGAACGAGATCCTCTAACATCATGAAGAGATGTCATGGAAGCTATAGTACCATGATATCCCTTCTTCACATCCATATGGTTAAGGTTAAAATGACTTGAATTAATTTACAAATTACAAATCTACTATATACATTTACAAAAATCACATACAAACAAAATTATGATACAATAAAATCAATTTCAGATTTATTTTCTATGAACAGTAACTGTCTATATTACATATCGCTACAATAACCGTGACATCCCTTCTCTGTTTTGCACTGGATTTGTATTGTAGCTTTGTGACATCCCTTCGTGATGTTAGAGGATCCGTTCCCCTTGCAACGGGGTGCGGCTCTCCAGAGAAGCTTGTCGGCATGCTAGTCAGTGGCAAGCACCGGTGGCGGCAGTCGGAACAACATAGGGAGGCGGCAACTCAACGGGAACTCGAAGCAGCGCAGGGAGGCGACGCACTCGACTAGAGCTAGGGAGGAGCACGAGAAGCGACTTCTCTCAAGGATCTAGATCCTGCAAATGGAGCCGTTGTTGCGATAAGAGCATCTACAATCATACTTGGCAAATCCGACCCCTCAAATGCCCGCGGACGCGCCCGGACACGTTCGCGGACAGTGGTCGGTCACACCTCAAAAAATGCATTCCACATATGGATACCTCAAATCCATATTATTACATGCAACGCATCGATCTTTGAGTGGAGCTTCGTCCGGTTTCGCTCCCCGTCCGCCCGGCTCCGCCATGGCCATGTCCGGCGGCTGGCTGTGCCCCTTAGAGTGTTGGTCTGGTCACCGGCAAGGTAGAGTAGGATATGGGACACGAGGCGGCTCACAGGACTCAAGGCGCCGCTGTCTCCCATACCCTACTCTTCCTCGTCGGAACCCGGAACCCGTCGGGTGCTAGTGGACGTTAGATCGATGACGGATCCATCCTGGGATGAGCCGCCGACATCCAC